CACACACCGCGTTCGACTAACAAAGATGGCCGAATGTACGAATGGCGGCCACCCAGCGGTCGGCAATTAACCTGTGGTTAATAGCCAGCCTGGGAGGTAAATTAGCTGCACACTTCCACTTCTGTGTGGTCCGCCTGTGTAGTACTTGGTTCGGTAAGCCCCATTTACCGAACCAAGTGGGGAAAAGCCATGAACAAAGAATTTTAAGGATTTGGGGACATAGTCTTAAATGGGCATTGTTCCAAAAAGTTCCAATATGCCCACATACAGTTTTTAAAGGGCCATACACCCCAGGGCCATAGTCATGAGGCAGGAGGCTGGCAAGCAGGCCTCTCCAGGACCAAGTGGCGAACGGCACTTCGTCACAAACTCCATGTCACAATCCCCTACTATAATGTAGAAAGCACATAAGTGCATAATAAGAGGAATACTTATAAGCATAGCAACCAAAAAGAAAAGGTTGTATGCAGGTTTGTGGTGCAGGTGTGTGTGTAAAAACACAAACGCTTCTGCAGGAAATTAGAGAACTTGAAGATATCCATAAAACAATTCACTCCTTTATTACATATAACAAGCTCACTCAAAAGAGGACAGAACTTCAAGTGCTACTACGTACTCAGATGAAATTGTAAACATATACCAAGAATATTTACTATGCTCAAGGGGGCAAATGCGGACTTTACTGGTGCAAGCTCTCCAGCAAGGAATATGTTACTTTTATTTCTAAGATCAACACACCTACAATAAGAGTATCACATTTATTACCTCATATCATCAAAGTGTTCCAAAATTTCTATTATAACTTCAAGGACTCCACACTTTCAGAAATCCAAGGTTTGTATTTTTTATTTTTTTTATAATTCTTTGTTTTATTAAGGTAAAGCTGTTAACATACAGGCAATTCAACGAGTGTATGAGCAACTGTAAATATTCACTGACAAGCTAGAGCGACATATACTCTTTTCCATCGTACCTCTTTTTGTATAATCATATACTGTACAATATAGGGAGAGACATCAAATAGGGTAGAAAGGTGTCGTTCTCACCGGATCCCAGGAATGCAAAGAAGAGGGGGTTCCGTGGGTCGTGTGGAGAGTCCCAACATTTGAAGGAAGGGTTCGGCGTAATGCAGGGAGGATAGTCTCATTGTAGTTCTGCCACGACTACTATATGGCCCAACACGCAAAACTATCATAACACAAACAACGTACACCAGGCCTTAATGTAAAAGAGAGTGGTCAAAATAACAAGCCAAAGTTGGGGATACAGAAGAGACAATACAAATATACTAGCTTAAGGTCAGGATACCAGAAGTAGGGAAAGTCAAAACAAACCAAAGTCAAAACTAGAAAACATTACAAAGAACGCGCTCTCTGACAACCAGCGCCATCTTTAATGTGGGTAGTGTGCACTTTATCAGCAAGAACGGGATTGCAGCGGCCGGCCTCCCTTAGAACGCTGCACCAGCCAGGATCTGTCTTGTGGGAGCCACTAAGCCGCAATCCAGGTGAGTTTAACTTTCCCTTTTCGGCGCGACCGCCCTGCTATTGTGCAGCTGCACCTATCAGTAACTTTTTTTTGTCTAAAGTATCAACGCGACCGCACTGATCAGGCGCGGTTGTGTCGATACAAACCCTCTGTGCCGTGGAAACTTGATAAAACGCCTTTGATAAAGGCATCCAGGAGGTGCCAAAAATGTTGGGGGGTTCTTTTTATTCGTGTTTCTGCCCTATCAGGTTGTGGAATTTTGGTAAATATTTACAGTGGATTTTTTTTGGCCAGCCTGTTAACTATCACTTTATTTGTATTACATTTATATCATACTTGTAAATCAGATACTGGCTTACTAAACTAAGATATTAATTTTGGATGGTTTTTGGTGTGCATTCTCTGTTCATATATGTACTGATTGTTTTGGTATTTGAGGAAGTACCATTTGTGAATAGCACCCAAGTGTTTATTGTTTACACTATTATATAGTCTCTCCATACTTTGTATACTATTTGAGAGGAAACTTGGCCTGGAAAGACTGGAGCAGATGGACCAGCGTGAACGTCCACAGCAGGGACCCAAGACCTTTCCTCTGACCATAACCCTTCCAGTCAACTAAATATTGAAGGGAACCACAGAATCAACAACACAACTGACTTCGTACTCCTCCTGACCATCAACAACCAAAGGAGGAGGAGGAACTGAAGGAGTAGTGTACCTATTGCAAACCAAAGGTTTAAGCAAGGAGACATGGAAGGCATCTGGAATATGAAGATTAGCAGGAAGGGCATGGGAATAGGAAACAGGGTTGATCCTGTGAAGGACACGAAAAGGGATGATGTATCTGGGTGCAAACTTCATAGAGGGTACCCTCAACCTGATATGCCATGACGAAAGCCAGACTTGTCACCAACCTGGTACACAGGTGTGGCACTACGCCGCTTGTCAGCCTGACATTTAAAACGAGCAGCAGCAACGTTTAAAGCATCATAAACCTGAGTCCAGATGTCACGTATGAGATTCAAATGAACATCTAAAGAAGGAATGGCAGTATCGGAAAATACTGTAGGCAAGACAGTAGGATGCCGACCATTAGTAACAAAGAATGGACTTAGGCCGGAGGAATCATGCGTGGTATTTTTCCTAGCAAGCTCATCCCATTGTAACAAATCAGATCAGTTCTCTTGCATGCTATTAATGAAACAATATAAGTAATGTTCCAGGGACTGGTTAGCTCTTTCAGCTGCACCGTCAGTCTGTGGATGATCGGACAAGGAGAACGATAACGCTATACCCAACTGTTTGCTGAAAGACCTCCAAAACCTAGATACAAACTGAGAATCCCTGTCAGACACAATATTCAGAAGAATAGCATGTAACCTGAATATCTCCTTTATGAATATGTGTACACATTCTTAGGTGGTAGGCAGCTTCTTGAGTGGAAGGAAATGCGCCATTTTAGAGAACCGGTCAATGACCATTAGTATGGTCTCTATTTAATCATGAAATTAAAACATGACAAACAGAGACCATCTGGCTTGTCTGGAAGTTTCCTCTTGGCTTCACCTATGTAAGCCAGATTCTTGTGATCAGTGATTATCAAAAGTGGCTGTTTAGAATCTTCCAAGAGATGTTGCCATTCTAAGGCCAGGATAATGGCTAACCATTCTCTATTGCCTATATCATAGTTTCTCTCTGCTGGTGACAGCTTTCTGGAGAAAAACCCACAAGGGTGCAAAGGGGTGTCCTGTCTTTCCCTCTGAGATAGAAAAGTACTATCTGTATCTACCTCTAGTATAAAAGGTGTGCTGGTATCAGGGCGCACTACTATGGGAGCAGAAGCAAACAAGGTCTTAAGATTATCAAATGCTTCTTTTGTGGCCATATGTGACAGTTTACAACTTTATGTGTAAGATTAGTAATGGGGGCTATAAAAGTACAGAACCCCTTTATGAACCTACAATAATAATTGGCAAAGCCTATAAACTTCTGAATAGCTTTCAGTCCACTGGGTAGGGGCCAGTGCAGAACTGCTTCAAGTTTTCGTGAGTCCATTTGGAAACCAGAACCCGAAATCACGAAACCAAGGACCTGAACCTCTGTCTGATCAAACAGGCAATTTTCAAGTTTACAGTAAAACCCATTTTAGTAGGGTTTGTAAAACTTGTTTTACATGCCCATAGTGAGTAGAAAGACCAGTAGAATATATGAGAATATCGTCGAGATACACCAATACAAAAGAATAAATGAATTCTCTAAGCACATAGTTTATAAGACTCTGAAACACGACTGGGGCATTACATAAGCCAAAAGGCATGACTAAATACTCGTAATGTCCATTTCTAGTATTGAAAGCCATTTTTCCACTCATGTCCCTCCTTTATCCTCACCAAATTATAAGCACTCCTAAGGTCAAGCTTGGTAAACCTTGGAGTCTGCTAAATGATTAGGAAATTAGTGTTTTTCACAGTAATCTTATTTAATGCCCTATAGTCGATTATAGGGACGCATATGTCATTCTTTCTTGAATACAAAGAAGAAACCAGCACCGGCTGGAGATGATGATCTGCGAATGTGACCTTTAGACAAGGACTTGTTTATGTATTCCTTCATGACTTTACTTTCTTGAGGGAATACGGTATATACACCACACTTAGGGGATATAGCACCAGGAAGCAAATCAATGGAGCAATTGTAAAATCTGCGAGGAGGTAAAACATCAGTATACACTCTGTTAAACACTTCTTTAACCTCAAATAAGGAACAGGAACCTCAATAAAAAGAGGAGCAGTAGTAGGTACATTTACCGTGTTCAATCTCTTAGAAATGGGTTGAATACACTTATGTCTTCATTCACTACTCTATTCTAGTATCTCTCCCTTAATCCAATCAATACGCGGATTGTGCTTGAGAAGCCATGGGAAACCAAGTATTACGAGACAAGATAGACAAAATAACTTGGAAGGTGATATGTTCTTTGTGTAAAGCCCATACCATCAAGGTGAGAGGTAAAGTATCTTGTTTGATCAGAGGATGGGACAGTGGTCTACCATCTATGGCCTCAACGACCAAGGGTGTGGTTCTTTCTTTGAGCGGCACTACAGCTGCACCAGAATCAACCAAAGCATCACACATAAAAATGTAAATTACTTTGGGTGAAAACAGAAAGCATAAACCTATTACGAGGCATACCAGGGGATATATACATCACACCTAAGGCTGATCCCCAGACGGCCAAATAGGACAAGCTATTCTCAAATGACCCATTTTCCCCCAGTATAAACGAGGATTTCTTCCTATCTTCTATATAGTTTTTCGGCCTCGGATAGTTTCATCACCCCTAATTGCATGGGTTCGGGTTCAAGAGGGGGAAATGGAGCAGGTAAAACAGGAGTGGAGAAACTGGGAGCAAGAGACAAATTAGAATGCCTAGTTCTATTTCTAGTTCTCTCCCTATCTGTTAGACCAGGGGTTCTCAACGTTAGTCCTCAGGACCCCCTACCAGTCCAGGGTTTAGGGATTACCTGGGTGTGTCTAAGGTGTTTAGAAAAAGAAGAAAAAAAAACACCTTAGAGTCTAAGGTGTTTTTTTCTTTTCTTTTTTCTAAACACCTTAGACACACCCAGGTAATCCCCAAATCCTGGACTGGTAGGGGGTCCCGAGGACTGGGTTGAGAACCCCTGTGTTAGACGGTTATCGTTATGCATCATGCAAGTAATGTACTTATTAAGTTTTTCTGGCAATTCTTTCGCAGCAGTCTCACCAAGGACTGCAGCAGACAAGCCTTTGGAAAAGGCAGTGATTAAACTGCTGTTAGTCCAGTCAGCCTCTGAAGCAAGGGTACAAAATTCAATGGCGTGTTCTGCAACAGACCTGTTGCCTTGTTTTATATGCATTAATGCTTTGGCAGTTGTTTTCTCCTTACACAATGGCTCCAAAGTCAGTTTAAACTCTGCAAGAAATTCTTTATAGTCATAAGCAATTGACGTATTTCTCTCCCATAGAGGATTTGCCCAAGTTAGGGCCTTACCTGTCAATTGGTTCATTAAATAACCTATTTTGGATCTATCAGAAAGGAATGATCCAGGAGATGCCTCAGTGATATTCTATTTGATTAAGGAATCCACGACACTCCTGAGCATCACTTCCAAAATGAGGAGGAGGTGATAAGGATATCGAAGGAGCCTTATACACAATAGGAATACTCACAACAAGAGGGGTTGGACCTGACGGTGGATGAAGATGAGCCGTACGGGCTAGGAGCGTTTGGAAGCCTGGGCAAATTGATCCATGCGGGATCATATTCCTCCAGTCTCCTCTCACAAGCCAACATGTGTTGACACAATTCTGCAGGGTCCATGGCCCCGACTACTATATGACCCAACACGCAAAACTATGATAAAACAAACAATGTATACCGTGCCTTAGGACGACTGGACTTAACGTAAAAGAGTATGGTCAAAATAACAAACCGAAGTCGGGAATACAGAATGAGACAATACGAATATACTAGCCAACGGTCAGGATACCAGAGGTAGGGAAAGTCAAAACAAGCCAAAGTAAAAAAACTGAAAATTTTACCAAGAACACACTTTCTGACAACCAACAAGTGGAACCCATGACAAGGCACTGAGAAAAGACATTACAGGGTTTAAATATGCCTCTCAGTGCTGTGATTGATCAGTACATTGCCTTTGATCCCAAAACGTTCGTGTATGTCGATATTGTGACGTCACACACACACTGAGCACGCCGCGCGGAAGAGGAGTGGGCGGGTCAGGCTGACCAGAAGAGCAGCAGGACCCCAACTCCCACCAGACCCAGCCAGCCAAAAGGTAGGCTATATGTGTTTTTGTGTATCAGTATGTGTATGTGTAGTGTTTGTGTGTATCTGTATGTCTGTGAGTCTGTATGTGTCAGTGTATCTGCATGTGTGTATCTGTATGTGTCACTGTGTTTCAATCAAAATAATTTTAAAAATTTAACTTCTGAATGTGTGATTGTGTATCTCTGTGAGTGAGTGTGTGTGTCTGTCTAAGATTTTGTGTGTGTCTCTTTCGGTGAGTTTGTGTATGTCTCTCTGTGAGTGTGTGTTTGTGTGTGTGTCTGTCTCTTAGTGAGTGTCTGTTATATGTTGTATAGGTGACTGGCCCCCCTTTGATTACATGGGAAAGGTAATTTTACTTACCTGTTTTCCCACGCTATGACTGTCTATGACTGACTTTTTTAGCTGGCTCCTAGACTCCAAGCAAATTTCTCAAGCTCTGGTGTATCTGCATGTGTGTCAGTGTAGCTGTGTATCAGTGTATGTATCTGTGTGGCAATATGTGTGCCACAGGTATGTATCTGTGTGTCAGTGTATGTATCTCTATGTCTGTGTGTATGTGTCAGTGTGTGTATCTGTGTGTCTGTATGTGTGTCAGGGTATGTATCTATGTGTCAGTGTGTGTATCTGTATTTGTTTTATGGTATATATCTGTGTCTGTGTATCTGAATGTGTGTCAGGGTATGTATCTGTGTAACTGTGTGTGTGTCTGTGTATCTGTATGTGTGTCAGGGTATGTATCTGTGTGACAGTTTGTGTATTTTTGTGTATCTACTGTGTGTCAGGGTGTGTATCTGCATGTGTGTCAGGGTATGTGTCTGTGTGTCAATGTGTGTGTCAGGGTATGTATCTGCATGTGTATCAGAGTATGTATCTGTGTTTCATGGTGTGTATCCTTAAGTGTGTTGGTGTATGAATCTATGTGTCTTTGTATCTGCATGTGTGTCAGGATATATATCTGCATGTGGTCAGTGTGTGTATCTCTGTGTATCTGCAAATGTGTCAGTGTATATATCTGTGTGTCACTGTGTGTATCTGTGTGTCAGGATGTGTATATGTGTGTCACTGTGTGTATCTGTATGTGTGTCAGGGTATGAATCCTTAAGTGTGTCAGTGTGTGTGTATGTGTCTGTGTATCCGCATGTGTGTCAGAGTATGTATGGATGTGTATCTGTGTGTCAATGTGTGTATCTTTTCAAATAATGTTTATTATAGTTTTATAAAATATTCAACAAATTATACAAACATTTTGTATGGGGTAGGGGAAGGAAAGGGAAACTTGGCAGTGGAAAGGGGTAACCATCCATTGTAATAAGAAACACAATAATGTATATGACAGATTATACACCGGGGCCCCATGGGTCGTGTGTACGCCACTGCTCTAAGGATTCACATTCAATCATGCATTTTGAGCATTTAACCGCTAATCTGTTGCTATCTCTCCTATGGGATTGGTCAGGGTTTTCCCTAGCATTATCCAGTTCTCCATTCATGACGACATTCGTATCACCATACATTACCAAAATGCCTCTCATATTTTCATTCACCAGATCCATCATTTCCCTAAAAAAAACTTAATTGACCGGTGTTGGGGAAATACATATTCACAATTGTATACTCAACATAATAAGTACCTCCCTCCGTTAGTACCTTGTCCGATAAACAAGCCACATTCCTGTTGAAGTAAAAAAGCACCTTTAGACCTAGATTTATAAGCACTATGAAATTGTATTAAGAAAAGTTTCGACATAAGCTTTTAGTCTTTACCGTCTTTAAAGTGTGTTTCCTGTACACAAATGATATCAGATTTGTTCGACTTTGCTTCTTTAAATAATACTCTTTTCTTGTGCACGATGTTCAGACCTCTCACATTAAATGACAAAAATGTAAAATCATGATGATAAAGAAAAAGCCAGTTGACAATGCGAGAGTCTGAACCTCCGCACTCCAAGAGAAGTATAAGCAAGTCCAACTATATTGCTAACATAAGTTCAAGGTTTTTGCATGAATGAACAAAAATATTGAATGCTTGAGCTTGTTTGAATAGCAAAGAACGTACTGAACTAATTCCTTCAAATTTTGTACAAATTATAACATTAAATTGTGTTTTCTGAAATATTTTGCATATCTTAAGAAAGTGGATGGACATAAAAATAAAAAATAATAAAAGGGAATAAAAAAAACTTGGGTATACACCCTTATCAGGGGTAAAAAAAAAGGACAGTAAAAAAAGTTTCTCTATCTCAGGGTGTTAGGCCCAGGTTGGGGGGAGTGAAGGCTACTGAAGACAAGGGAAACTATTGTAAATAGAAAAAAATTAATAAGACAAAAAAAGAAAAAACAACCTTAAACCATTGTCTGAGAAAAAAATGTAAGTACAAAGTGAGAAGATTATAAATAGTTAGAGTAAATTCTGTATAAATAGTAATGGCATACGACCAGTAACCACTATTGTTCAAACCCAAAGGTTTGTCAAAATAAAAATTGAAAAAAAACAAGTTTTCAAGTAATCCCGACATATCCGAAGACTGGAGCAGAGAACAGTAGTATATCAATACAGTAGAACCCAATAAAAAGTAAAAAAATAAATAAAAATAAGAATAAAAGCGCCTTTACAGTATCAACCAAATCCAGATGAGATTGCTCCTGAAAATACAATCTATTTTCTACTTCCTCTGTGCACTGGCTAATACCCTCCATAACTCCATGAATTGTTTCAAAGTCTTTTTTGAAGTCATTTGTTAAATCCACTCTTAGATTTTGGACAAGCTTAATTAATTTGCCAGCTGATGTTGGTAAGTCTTCTCCCATTTCAAGTGGCATGGTTGGATTATATGTGATAGCTTTAATAGTGAAATATTAATGAAATAGTGGCCATCTCAGAGGTGGAAGCAGCCATCTTGGTTGAGGCATTAACATCCTGTGTAGTAGTAGTGGCCATCTTGGTTGTTGCAATTGTTGACTCATGAGTGTCAGCCATCTTGATGGTGGCAATCTTTTAAATTCTCTATTGCTGAGGAGTAGTCATTAATGTAATAGGAGCATCCTCCATTTCAAATTCTTCTGGGCTCTCTGCAGCCCTTTCTGTGTCTTTCAGATTTAGGGATTCGGCAGCAGGGGTCCCCCAGACCATGTCCGACCGCCGTGAGGCAGAGGACCACGAAGGGGAGTGGGACCTCCTGCACGCCCCCTCATCGTCAGCCCAGTCACTTTTGTATATTAGTGACTGGGCAGCTTTAGTAATTAACAGCTTAATTTCCCTTGTGTGCCGTCTGCAGGTGCTGTCTCCACTCGCTCCGAGCGCTGAGTGATTACTGTCGCCCTCCATGCGGCTGCAATCTTCTTTGTTTGTTTCTGCTTCTGCATGCTGCTTGAAGGTTCTTAAAGCTGAAGTAATGTTCAAATACAATGGATTAAAGTCTTAAATGTCATTTTTATAGCATTATTGTCCCCTTGGCCCAGGAGCCTCTCTAGATTCAAGATGGTGGCGGGGAAACGCCCCCGTCAATGTGTGTATCTGTGTGTCAGTGTGTGTGTGTCATGATGTGTATCTGTATGTGTATCTGTATGTGTGTCTTTTATGGTCCTGACTGCTTCACATATGAGGCCAGTAGTTTCATACAACCTTGCTTTTTGTTGCTGAACATTTACAGTATAATCAGTCTTCTTATAACTGACAGGAACACAGAAGTAAAACATCCTCTGTGCAGCACTGCATCACACTCACTGACTTAAGATGGCCTGTGAGTCATTAGAGGGGTGAAGCCACTAGTTAAAGTGAGAGGGCAGTGTCCTACATTCCAGGTATAACAG